GGTTTTCATGGATTTTGTCCATCTCCCCTGATTCCCCTTTGTATTATCATATCCTAGTCCTCCATATGTATTGTTCGTTGTTATAGTAGGTCGTCCTCAAAGATATCATATTTTTATGTATTTTATTTGGGGCTCTGGACCTCTTGAAGCTGTCTTCCCACGCGTTTTCAGGTTTCTAACTTCATGTCCTTGTATCTCATTCATTTCTGGATGGTTTTTCACGTTCTCGGTATCATAAATTTTCATTTATTCCCACATTTCCAATGGTACTAAAGTTGTATTCTATTTCTTGGTATTTGTCAAGTTAGCAAAAGTTCACGTGCACATTCAGTAATCACATGCATTGTTCCCATAGTTGTTCATATGTGGGTGCTGTTTCTGTTTAATTGTTCGGGATTTATGGTATGCGCGGGTGTTTGTATCCTTCATATGGGCTTCCGTGATTTATTTCAGATTTTTCCCTCATGATCTAAGGTTGTTTTGTACTTTCCGTGCTTTGTTTTGACCGGGGTCTTCCTTATTTGGACGGAAATTGGTCTTCGTGATCTGCCAAAGTGCAGATCTCAGTTCCAACAGCCAGTTCCCTTCGCATCACGTGTCTTTAAACATGATGTGGATTTCTATATTCCTGTCATTGGTATAACTTCACAATGGCTGGACCGTTTGGGCTGAAACATTGCATAACTATAGTTTCCTATTTATCATAATTTTCGTGTAAATTTCGTAGTGTGTTTTAAATATGGATCCTACGTAAACGTTGTCTTTTCCCTGAGCCCAGACTTTTGATGTCGCTCTTCCCGTTATTGGATATCTCATTGATGCGTGATCCTTTTATTATGAAAATTTGGGTGAATTAAGATTAGATCCCTTCCTTTCTAATGAGCTATCAAGCTCGTTTTGGTCGTTACTGCTTGTTCTTTGCGCTTGCCTTTTAAACATTGTCCTCATTTTCCGAGAGTTTTAGTCATATCTCCGTCGTTTATGGGTAGTTTTCCCTGTAATTACTTTCATTGGGTCCGTTTGAGAGACATCTACATTTCCTATTATAAATACGACTTTGAATTTTGCATTAGTTCCTAAGGAATCCTTGTTTCATGGTACTTCCATCCTCGGCTACGTGTGCAGACATGGGAAAGTAGTTTCCGTGGAGGTTCTCTGGTTGTTTTTATAGTCAAATCTTGGTCGATTGTCCTAATTCTTTGTTTAATATTTGCTATAAATTCCCCCGAGAATTCCTTCTTGTTGATGCTAAGCTTGAAGTATTTTTGCTAATTTTCTTTCTTCCAATTTATCATGTGTAGTCGTTAAAATTCGTTAAAATTCAGGTCCTTCTATTTTCTCATATCTGTCGTATGGGGTTTTGTGATTTATCTGGCATATTTCCATAATGGGTTTCCATAGTGTGACCATTATTTCTCCTACAACACTCACCGACAGCAGCCAGAACGGTGGTAGGCTCACGTAAAAAAGGCTTGTCAATGACACAAAGTGATTACCTGGACTCTAAATTGATTCATAACTCAAGGCAGGTTTGGTAACCTTCGATGCAGATTTGAATCTCCTGTTCATGAGGACTATTTAAACGAGTAAGCAGTATGCGTGGTGCCCAAAAGGTGGCCTGTGTTCAAAGAGCCTCAATGGCGGGGAATGCCTCATCATCATGGTTTATTGGTGAGAATGTGCACGACTTTCACAATCGTTGGTGTCTCTCATCTTCCCACGGCAGCAACTACTGCCCTCCCTGTTTGGGTCCTACACCAACGGGCACAGTACTAGGGTTTGCTTCGGGATTTGGGTAGACAGTCCACCACCGGGGTGAATTTCATCTATGTCCTGCTGCCAGACTGTTGCTGACCTATCCTGGGCTTCAGGTATTGGATCCTTCTCACTTCCATGGACATTCACATCTAAGTGCCATAGTTTTGAAGAACAAGGCCATCATTGTGGTGTACACTGACTTCAATACAATGTCACCGATGAAGGAGAGAACGAAGGAAGGTCAGTTGGGAGGTTCAAACGAGACCACCACCAAGCTGTTCCCTGGTTCTTTAGTTAGGATGGGGAAGTGTACTAGTGTTGTTTATTGTAAATATAGTACCAATCCGAGTGTTTTGGCTAATTCTATTTTTATGGGTTAGTTTTAAAGTTCCTGGGAATTGACTTACAGATAAACCGAGCCCTGCGGAGCTGTTTCTTTATTGAAATTTATTAATTTGTCTAGGTGTAATTTTGTGTAGCGTTGTTTAATTTGGATTTAAACTTGAATTTAATCTTCTACTTGGTGAAGTTTCAAAGATTCTATTCAGTTAATGAATTTGGATGGTGTCTGGAGTGTCCCTTGAGTTCGTTTTATTTTTGTCTTTATTTTATTGCTTGTTTTAACAGTAGCAAAATAACTGTTTTGTGTTTACACTTTGAAATCTGGAGTGTTAACCAGCTCTCCTGTTGAAATATCTACTTAATATTTCTCTCCTTAATTGCTGCCTTTTACTACAGTGGCAATCTTAACTGTATATCACTTTTTCGCACTGGAGTGACAACCAGAAATGCTTGAGAAAAATAATACTCTATTTTCTTACTTCTCTGAGGGGGGCGAAAGGTCGCAGAAAGGGTCTCCCTTTTATACTCCTTGGGTCGCCTTCCTTTTTCACGCTCTACCTTCTATTTACAGGATTTATTTACAGTGTATTTTTCTCAAACTGAATAAAAAGTGAAATTTTCACGCTATAGTTCCGCTGCGCTTTGCTGCGCTGAACTGCGGTCTACTGCGGTCAGACTGCGCCTGGAATCCTTATTGTCCTTCCTCGCCTAAGCTATTTTAATGGTTAATTAGAATTTGTCTGCGCCGCATTTGCCGCAGTTCCCTATTTCAAATTCCCCATATTTCCCATTAAGTTCGCTATGACTCAGTCATACTGAATTCAAACCTCGCATTACTATGCGTGCGACTGTGCTGAGACCTTCAGCTGATTTATTCCAATTTTATTTAGTGACATTTTAGTTAAAATGAGACTGAAATGATAAATGAGTGAATTATTCAGGTTTAAAACTGAAAGAAAAAGTTGCTAGTAATCAAGAATTACTCAAACGAATGTGTTATAGCTCTCTACTTCATTAGAACATCGTTCCCTAAAATTCCCGCCATGGTCCGTCATAGTTTAGTAGTTTTCGTGAATTTCGTTCATATTCCCTGATTCCCCTTTGTATTATCACATCCTAATCCTCCATATGTATTGTTCGTTGTTATAGTAGGTCGTCCTCGAAGATATCATATTTTTATGTATTTTATTTAGGGCTCTAGACCTCTTGAAGCTGTCTTCCCGCGTGTTTTCAGGTTTCTAACTTCATGTCCTTGTATCTCATTCATTTCTGGATGTTTTCTCACGTTCTTGGTATCATAAATTTCCATTTATTCCCACCTTTCCAATGGTACTAAGGTTGTGTCCTATTTCCCTGTATTCGTTGAATTAGCAAAGTTTCGCGCGCACATTCGGTAATCACGTGCGTCGTTCCCATAGTTGTTCGTATGCGGGAGCCGTTTTCGTTTAGTTGTTCGGGATTTATGATATGCGCGGGTGTTTATTTCTTTCATATGGGCTTCTGTGATTTATTTCAGATTTTTCCCTCATGATCTAAGGTTGTTTTGCACCTTTCGTGCTTTGTTTTGACCGGGCTCTTCCTTATTTGGACGGAATTGGTCTTCGCGATCTGCCGAAGTGCGGATCTCGGTTCCGACGGCCGGTTCCCTGCGCATCGCCACCCTCACGTGTCATTACACATGATGCGGATTCCTATATTCCTGTCATGGGTATAACTTCACAACGGCTGGACCGTTTGGGCTGAGAATTTGCATAACTATAGTTTCCTATTTTTCATAATTTCCGTGTAAATTTCGTTGTATGTTTTAATTATGGATCCTACGCAATCATCGTCTTGTCCCTGAGCTCGGACTTTTGATGTCGCTATTCCCGTTATTGGATTTCTCATTAACGCATGATCCTTTTATTATGGAAATTTGGGAGGATTAAGAGTAGATCCTTTCCTTTCTAATGGGCTATCAAGCTTGTCTCGGTCGTTACTAGTTAATCTTCGCGCTTGCTTTTTAGACATTGTCCTCGTTTTGCAGGAGTTTTAGTCATATCTCCGTCGTTTATGGGTAGTTTCCCCTATAATTACTCTCATTGGTTCCGTTTGGGTGACATCTACATTTCCTATTATAAACACGACTTTGACTTTTGCATTAGTTCCTGAGGAATCTTTGTTCCGTGGTACTTCCATCCTTGCTATGTGTGCGGACGTGGGAAAGTAGTTTCCGTGGAGGTTCTCTGATTATTTTTATAGTCAAATCTTGGTCGATTGTCCTAATTCTTGGTTTAATATTTGCTATAAATTCCCCCGAGAATTCCGTCTCGTTGATGGTAAGCTTGAAGTATTTTTGTTATTTTTCTTTCTTTCGATTTATCGTGTATAGTCGTAATAATTCGTAAAAATTCGTAAAATTCGTTAAAATTCAGGTCCTTCTATGTTCTCATATCTACTTGTCGTATGAGGTTTTGTGATTTATCTGGCATATTTTCATAATGGGTTTCCATAGTGTGGCCGTTATTTCTCCTTCACCGATAAGAGTAGTGGGTATTGCCGCAGCAGGTGGCATCCATCAGTTATTACATATGTTTATTTTGGAGGGGCACAGAGAGCACAAATGGTCCAAAGAAACCAATATCAACATGTGGGAAAGTAAAAGTTCCCATGAATTGTGTATGCGAAAGAGACCTTGCAAGCAAGGTAATGTTAAGTTGTGGGCCAAGGAAATATCCTTTTGCATCACTAATAAAAACTTTGTCTTGTTCCCCACTGATGGGATTTCCTACAAGGAATTCCCTTGCTGTGGCGTGGTAAAATTTGACCACCTTTCTGTTGTCAGAGGGAAGATCAACTATGGTGCTGATGGGCTTTAGCGTCGAGTAAACCTCATCCTCAAGGAGCTGCGACATGTCATACATGCTGAGTTCCTGCCATGCTGCAACCATCATTGCCACTACCTTACAATAATTCGTTGCTACTTGTAAGGTCGGTGTAGGTGTCGACCTTGGTGCCTCTTCAGTCCTCAGGTCAGCCGATATCTAGGTTATACAGGGCTTAGTATTCAACTTGGTGTGGAGAAGAGTAAAGAACCCTTTACCATATGTAAATACACAGGTACAACAAGGAACAACAAGGAATAAACCACCATTCCTTACACTACTTGTGGACAAATGTTTGAGGAATGGGGCATATATGCTCGTCGCAGTATCCGAAAATACTCCGAGTTGAGATCCGCAGGTGCATCCATGAGATTCAGAAAGTATTCGAGCTCAATACGCGAAGTCCAGATTCGGACTGAAAGCGGTTTTCTCTTGAGGATGCGGATGGAGGCTATAATGGGCAATCCTCGGCAAGCTGTGATGAAGGAATCAAGATCCTCATTGGATGGTTTCCACTGCGAGTCTGCGATACAATCTTGGAGCCCATCCTCAACCATACAATGGATGGTGTAGAAAGTGTCATGCCTCGAAATCCTATCGGCATCTTCATGAGCAATCACAATCGGCGGATACCGCGCTCCAGCCCGGTCCCAAGCCGAAATGACTTGCGGTTCGGGATGACAGCTGACCAGCACAGCAAAGGTCGAAGGTAGCTCATCAAGCAGAAGGATGAGCTTCATCAACGATCTGAGTGTTTCCGGGTCACCACACTCATCCAATCCGTCCAAAGCAATCACTGCGCGGTCCCCCCTTGAGGACAGGATATCCCCGAGTTGGCGCAAAGGGTGGATGATCCAGGCTGTCATCTCTTTCTCTGTAGCAGAACCCCGAGTACTGCTCAATGAAGCTGGCTGCCGAAGCTCTTGTACTCGGCATTGAACGCCGCAATCTGCAGAGCAAGGGTGGAGGGAAATCGCTCTAAAAAAAAAGAATCAAGACCCGTTCCTTGTCCCAGAAGAAGGACGCAGCAAGGGTACCCTGGCTACCAAGAGTCGAGGCTACACCCATGGATATCGCAGTCTTCCCGGTTCCGGGTGAACTACGCAGCCACACAAATCGGTTCTTGGGTTCCCTCAGGTGTTTGAGGATTGAGCTGCGAATCTCATCCCGCGTGGTTTCGAGGCATTCGGACTTGCTCTTCACGTGGTGATACTCAGCATCGACTTTGCGGAGTTTCGACAGCTCGTCTGAAAATGGGAATGAGCCAAAAGCCCTGGCATCGGGAGAAAAAGACGAACGGTCCACCGACACTTGGATCGTATTCAAAGTCGTTGCCACTGTCTACAGTGGGCATTATATCAGCTGAGGTTTGAAAATATGGACACAGACCTAACGAACCGCAAAACGAGAAAGAGCTTCACTGATACATGTCCTCACATCATTTATGCTTTGTGTTAGCGAGGTCGCTACAAGTATCCTCTTCCAGTGCTTCCGACTCTGACTCTCAAGCAAGCTGATCCTCTCAACCTGACCTTCCAAAGCCCTATCAATTGCACTTAACGCCCCATGAACGACACTGCGGAATATCATCGACATACAAGTGAAATTCCCTCACGAGAAAAGTTACTTCGGCGGGCATCGGTCCCGTCCACAGTTGGAGCGGCCGCAACATGATGGTATATGCATTTTGCACTTCATCATCCAGCCCTTTAGAGCTTCGTTATTACCACTAACGTTCTATGTGAACGAAAGCAGATGTGAGGATATATCGTCACTGATTTTTAAGACCAAAATCCGAACCTCGTAAACTTGAAGCAGCGTGAGAGCAAGTCCGTGAGCAGCAAGTCTGGAATATTATGGAGGAACGGGATGGGAGAAAATTTGAGAGCTGAGGATGCGGTTTGGAGAATAAGCCTAGTAACACTGATGATGCTTTTCTTTCTGTCATCAGCTGGGCCGGCTGTCGATTCTGGCGTCGACTCTGGTCTAGAGGGGCCGATGCTTGCATTTTCTAGTTGTGTGCGGACGCGTCCACCGCCAAGGAGAGTTCAAGGGGCGGGTGTCACATGAGGGGGTTCGAAGCTCGATGAGTGTGCTCGCGCAGTGGAGACAGACAGTCCAGAGATAGGTGTACGTGATTGGCTGATACGATTAGGATTGGAACGTCGGGATGCAATCTGGGGCAGGGGCAGTTTGGGACAAGATCCCCCGGTCCAGGCTGCCGATCACGATGAATGGTTTCGCTGAGTGTCTCCGAACTCGCGGGATGGATTCGAAGCGATGGGGGGTGCGATTGCGGGTCACCGTCAGACGGCCCAGGGAGTGTAGCCTCATGTCTTGGGGAGGCATCCAAAGCTTCAGACTCTGAGACTCACTGGAAGGCCTGGGGTGAACCCCGAGATAAGACCCCGCGGATCTCCCGCGCCAATCATGACGAATATCGCGGGTTCGGAGAACCTGCGGGCCAGTGAGCGGATGAAGCGGAGGCGTACAGGTGCGGGTGAGCGTGGGATGGCCCTGGCAGCGTAATCGCACTGTTTGGGTAAGGCATCTGGTAAGAATCACCAAAAAATTCAAACGCAGGCGCCACCGGGAGCAAGGGGATAAGGTCCACTGCGCCAATCATAAGGGATACTACCGCTGGTTTTGGGGATCTGCAGGATGGTGGGATGGAATGAGAGTGGTGAAGTGAAAATGAGGCGGAGAATTGTTACTGATTATCGTCAGGTCGCAAAAAGGGAAGGCCGCTCTGTTCTGCGAGGTTCAGACTCGGAGGTGGATGTCGGTTTTTGTGATCCATTCGTGTGTGTCAGTCAAGAGAGGGCAGATGGATGAGGGTGAGATAACTACCCAGCCCGTACTTGGGATATAAAAGGCTGTGTGAAGGAAACAAGTAAGAATGCCTTGTAGGTTTAATGAACAGTATTCTCGGAAAGCAGTACTGCCCGCCGCTGTGACAAAAACTAGCTAACAGGGGAATGGTTTGAGTTATCCGAGCTACGGCAGAAAAGAAAGGCGGCTCGTAGACTGAGGTACCCTATTAAGGCATTAATTTCTCCGCCATTTCATCGAACTACTAATGCAATTTTGTGTTCGTTCATTGCACAGCATCTCGAAAGAGTGGTACTTGCAGTTCCGGTGCACGATAGGAACGACCAGCGGGAGCGGAACCAAGCCAAACGACGCATTGTTACAATTTGGGCCGCACAGATGTGGCAGAAAGAAGATCGATTGTATCAAAGCGTGCCATCAGGGTCGGGAAGTGTGGCGGTGAGACGCCGCGAAACGTCGTGACGGCAAACATAATTGAACAATGATGAGAAAACGTCTGTGATGGCGGTGGGGAGCGGAAGGATAGTGCCGTTAGATTCCAATATTTTCAGACTCATGGGTGATGTGATGTATCGGAGCCAAGGATGACGATCCAATAAGAATAGCAAAGGGTATTTGACACGGCGCAAAGGATCGAAAGATCTATGGTAAGATAGGCATTTCCTGCACTCCACAGCTTCTAGGTGGGTGGGAGGTCGTTAACCGTCGTTCCTCGAAAGGTATCCTGATCAACTCCAGTTAACACGATAGATGATATGTCAGGAGGACAGTGGAAAAGGTATTCGGAGAGGTTGGTGCATCAGAAGCGGATTAGGCATTCCTGAAACATGATTCTACAGCATAGGAGTCCAAGAAATGCGTGATCTCCATAGCAGAGCACATACCTTACAACCAATGGTAATTTCAATCCCACAATACGGTTGCGTGCACCAGGAACAATCCTGGTACCGAGCAAATATCAAGCCAGTTAGATTTGTTGTAAGAAAAAGACGATTTCTGCCGCACAAGATCAACGAGAACCGGATCCGTGAGCTGGGATAAGCGTACGTTTCCGTGACGGTTTTTGCGAATATTTCCGGACCTAGAGCTAATATCGGATGATCACTGACATGGGACAGAAAAATGAGGTGGCCAATGAGAAGAACGTTTGCGAAAGACTTGAACATCTCTGGGGGGAAGGACATACAGTTGACAGTCTATTTAAAGGGGAACAAACGACAGATCAAACGCGAGCAACACGCGGGTCCCCGGGACACCGTTCTAGGGAGAGCTTCGCCACAATTGTTTGGACAGCAAAGGTACCAAGTGTGTGGAAAATCCCAACTTGGTCCTTGAGTAGAAGAAGTATCCAGGGAGATGAAACACTATCTTCATTTTGAAGCGAGAAAGCGACTATTCCGGACCTGTGAAACGATGGCGACAAGTTCAGGCGTGCCGTTGTACCTGTACCGGGGTACCGTTAGCCGCTTCCGACGGCACATAAAGCACAGAGACCAAAGAATGCAGCCTAACATTCGGTGAGAAGGTGAAGCACGCATATCGAGTGAAATGCGACTAGCAAAAGCCGGTTTGTCACCCACTGGCCAGATCAAACAGTATGAATTGTCAGACAAAGGCCGGAAGGGGCGCGGATGACAAGGATGGTTTGAGCTCGATCTACCGCGACTTGGGCTTAATTTTCCACGGAAGCGATCCCGGGAGATTATAACGAATTGAGATACATTGTAAAGTAGCAGTGTCAAAGCATGCCTAATTTGGAAAGCGAAACGTTTGGAGCTTCAAATGGTATCTTACAGCGGGCGTCATAAAAAACGGGAATCCAGAATGTGACGTGACAACGGGTAATCACATTGTGGCGGAATTGTCCGATTGAATTGTTTCATTGCCTCATCCGCGCTTGTCGAAAACTTGCACACATTTTGCATTGGAGGTTTTGCCATTGTCAGCCGCAACGCTGAGGGCCTCAAAGGCATACCTTTTCTTTCCACCCCTCCATTCACTTGGTAACCGAGGGCTTACGCCTTCCTCGTATTCTCACAAAATGCCAACAATGCCCGACGACAAGATGGACATTGACGCGTCCCCAGCCCATCTCTCCAGCAATCAACTGGAAACAGTCCAATCGAGCATGAATGTCTTGAGTACTGCCCTTCGGTGGGCTGTTGACATATCTTCTGCGGAGGCAGATGAGCGCCGGTGGCCCCAATCATGTGCTTCATTCTTGAGAGACTTTTAGCCTTATTGAAACAGACGGATGTGGGAGAGCACATCCGGAGCCCCAACGACGTCAAGCCGATTGTGAACAAGCTCAGAGCAGATGACCGCAGCAGATGGAAGGATTGGATTGGGAAAGGAGTCAAATGCGGCGATTGGGCCTCCCTGATTGTGAACTGTGTGTACCAACCAGCATTTAAGGACCAGGCTGCCACTCAGGACCATCATCAGTACGCTTGTTCAACGTTGACTTTATGCAGTACTTATGTATCTTTCCCAGAGGCATTAGTGCGGAGAGTGGGTCCAGAAAACGCTATTTTTTCCATGGTTCTCATTCATTGTATCAGTATCAGGGCTTGCTAGAGCATACCGTTCACCATTTATGGGAGCCGCTCCTCGCGATTTCATTGAGCACCTCACCCAGATCGACAAAAGAGTGGTGGATGGTTTATTGCCCATTTATTGCAAATCCATCTCGGTAGTCCAAAGCTCCGGGACTGGGAAGTCACGAATGCTCACCGAGGTATGTTATTCCGTGGTAAGGCATGGTATGTCATCATATTTTGGTTTAGGTCGGTGCGAAAGTCTTCACCCTTCCGATCTGTCTTCGTGACCCAAATGACCCAGGATATCCCTTATCAGACGAGGCCCCCTTTGTCTACTTCCGCAGGCTCAGGTTCCAATTTAGCGAGAATGATCTAAGCCTCAGCACACTTTCAGGCATCGCCCATTTCCTTACTGCTGCTTATCAAACTATGTTATCCAGGCTCCAGGACATAAAGCAGGAAGTGGGTAATGATTGTGAAAAGATTCGTCAAATGTGGTACTGGATGATGGAGAAGGACATTTCAAGAAGTTATCGCATGAATTTTTTTCAAGATGTGGTGGAACGGGCAGGGGAGGTAGATCTCCGTTTTTCTTTTTTCTACTCCAACTCATGAGTGGTTCAGCTAGAAAAGATAGGGCCAGGAGGAAGCCCACAACGTGACAGGGCAAAGAAGGCAAATCTCTATTTTGGTCCTTTCTGTTCCAACTAATGACCATCACAACAAGCATGTCAAAGAGGCATTCGAGGACCTCATGGCGTTCATTGAAACCCTTACCTCTGACATATGCGTGACATACTTCGATGAAGCTCATGAGCTGCAGATGTGTTTCTGGATTATGATGCATTTATTGCATGCTCAAGACCAATCGAAGAAAATGTGGCATGTTTTTATAGCAACGAAGTCACCTATATCGTATTCCAGTCCTTCCCCCAGAAATAGTGAGTATTCACGCAGCTAGCTGGCCATGCCTGACTATTGTGTATAGTGATTTCTGCAAGACTCAGGGAGGAAACATTGCTTCCCTACTTCGCCCTTGACTTTGATCAGCAAGCTATTAAGAACACAAATGCTCCGGGACCCGTCAAAATGAGTGATTTTGAAACAATCGAGCATCTCGCCCAATATGGGCGCCCCTTGTATGTCCTTTCTTCCAAAACATGGGGTCGACTCCCTACTCGCCTTTGCAGGTGGCACGCACAGAGCCATGAGAGTATTACCGCTGCCATAAAGCACGCGGCCTCAAAGCTCACCGAATTCCATCATTTTAAGGCAACCGATCCCAATCATGTATTCGCCGTGCTTTCACAGCGACTTTGCCTCGATCCTGTTCTATCGAATGCCAGGGCGGTTGAGCTAGCCGATCACAGCGTCGCCCATCATATGAGACTTCTTACAGGCTTCTTGTTTGGCGGTGCGATATTTCGCACCGATTCGCCATCGGAACCGCTTCTGGCGTTGGGTGCTGCTTTCTTAATGTATAAACCCAACAAAGAACCCAACACATTGGCTGCTATCCTGGAAACATTAAACCTCAAGTTGTGCAAGGCAGGCTTGATAGAAAACGGCTTTATGGGCGAACTTGCTGCCCGCTTTCTACTCCTCGTTGCACGCGACTATGCAGCTCCAGCCGATGAGATAGGTCCCAATCTCTTGAAACCCGTTCGGCTGTTAGAAGTCCTTAGGAAACTCTTTGGTGATCTCCCATGGGATGATAATAGTGTGGCAGCTGCTTTCGGTGGTACATATGTCAATTTCACACACTGGATTATTACAAAAGATCCCTTACCGGAAAAGCCTTCTCGGTAGATAATTCCTTGCATACCGGTCCACGTGTTTTGCTTACTAGCCCCCTAGGAAATTACTCTCCAACTTGTGGGCCCGGGGAGCTATACTGCAGTGCTACTTCAACCAAATCTCGATCGATTTCCTATGCCCCATTTACTTGGGTTCCGTCTTGCCAGAAGATATTTTTGACTCTGACCGGCTTTCGGGACTTGTTGTTCAGGTCAGGTTCAATGATGAAGGAGAGGTCAATGCCCAAAGAGAGATGGAACCTGCCAGGATCATCCGAGATTCAGATGACCCTCTCCCTTATCTTGTCCTTCTGATGGAGCTCAGCACCACTTCCCAGCACAGAGACTCGTTGGACGCGATCAACGACAGGATCAAGATCATTCCTCCCGACTATTGCACGCGTGCCGACTATGAAAGGTTGACGGGAGAGCATGAGAAAGCCTTCCAGAAACTTTCCCAACACCAAGTGCAGCATCCGCAAGACAAAAAAGGGGCGCAAGAACTGAAGGCAGAGGTTGAAAGCAAGCAATTAGAGAAGGAGCATTACAACCGCTACGTGATCACTGCTCGAGCTAACACCTACCCCATACTTGACGAAGCAGAAATTGCGTGGGATTTCAGAAACTTGCTTCAAATTGTCAAGCCTCAATTAGCACCTCTAGATATTGCGGCCGGACATATGCGACCTCTGGAGCACTTGAGGGATACGGACTGGTTGTTCGATTATGCGTAGTATGGTGAATTCATCATGTTGGGAGCATGATGCTACAATTTTCAGGCTCGTGCCAGCTACTCTATTTATTTTGTTTGGTAGAGCTCGAAGGACGTCGCTCGTATCAAACTGAACAAGAGAAGAATTACAGCATGCTTCCTTCCTATCGCCGACATTTCTCTGTAGACGGCTTTCCAACACAGAAATCGACGCAGAATCGACGCCACATTGCTGATGACTTAATCTAACCACCAAGGTCCCAAAAATACGAGAGGAGCATCCCTGGACTAAATGACTGGACTAAGGAGCGCGCTAATTCTGAGTTTTGGTCATGCTCAATAAACTCCGTCTCGTAACCGAATTTTTTTTTTTGGAATTCATCACTTACCCTCGTCAAGCATTTCACTGAGTCATTCTTCCCGACGTATCTGGTTTTGGAAAGTCGTAACAGTGCAAACCTTACAATGTGGTCCAGGCCAGCCCAGTCCGTGATTGGAATATGGGGCTCCTGGGATTTAAGGGTCGATTTTACGCCAGCATCGCAGTGCGAATGTTTCACATATTAAAGAGTGCATCATAGCACAACACGGGAAACATGTTTGGCATTGCCACTTCTGCTGCCGCACAATTTGGTCGGACGTTGATGATAAGAAGAAAGTGACCGTAAAAAAGTCTGCCAGGTTCCTTGACTCAAGAAACACCACGTAAAAAGAGATGCGGTCAGATAGCATTCCTCTAGAAGCGATAATGATGCATATCGTGATGATCGTGACAATCTGGAAGGATATCATCCCGGGCCCTAAGATAGGCTGGAATGCGATTGAGGCAAGTATGTCTGAGGAAGAGCTAAAGCGTTGAAGTTCAGAACATGTAAGTGGGTGCTTATTGCCTCATTGTGCTTCCATGTGGTACGTGCAGCTAGCAGTCCATAGTCCCCCAACTGATTAGTAAATATGCCCTTTCGAGGATGATGTGTTAGCGGCCATGTCGCCACCTGCCAACGAACAGCGGCACCCAACAAAACTCGTCACGTGCAAATTGTCACTATTTTTTTTCCCACCGACCCAACCCACGTACTGTTCGAAACAATGGCTAGATTCTCTTTGATCCCTCGCGCTGGCCCCTTACCAGGAGTAAGCAGTATAACAAACCCTCTCCATGTTGTCCTGCAATATGCTGAAATACTGTACTACATACAACATAGGCTATCAGGCATTGGGTTCCCTCGCTCGGTATGGTATTTCCCCCGGGCTTTTTTATCCATTACCACTCTTTTTGCTTCCAACTGACACTCTCCTCTCGCTGGCACTTGTGGTGGTTGATATTCAAACGGTGTACGACGATTCCGTTCCATGGTTTCATGCCACTTCCAGGGATCTGGGGCTTCGGAGCTGCGTTTGCTGTCTCCTACTTCATGTCCGACGTTCCCAAATTCAGGATGGACGTACTCGATAACATCCCAATCGTACGTCTTACCATTTTTTTCAACACACAATCTCTCCCCGCCTCTCCATTGCTATCCGGATCATCCATTCTCATTCATTCTCTCACAGGTCCGGTCGTACTTTATCGATGACACTCCTGCTTCAGACAAGCCATTCTAGTCCTAGCCAGACTTTTCACAATAAATTTCTGCAATATAAAGATATCATTATTACGCTATATACAGGGCTGTAGCAACAGAAGTTGTGACATCACACGTTCCTCTAAGGTTTCCAAGAAAGAAGAAACAAAAAGACTCAACAGAGGTGAGGATACACCGGAGGCCAACATAACTAGCGGTTACTACACGTAGGAGTCTTTCATGAAACAACAGGTTGATGGAAGAGGCCGAGACTGAATCGATCGCAACACAATCAAAATGTTCAATATCCAAAAGATGGGGTCGTTTGTCCCATATATTGTGGGTCCAACACAACGGCAAAGTTGGGATCAGATAGCATTTGCGAGTCAAGGAAAGATGGCGCATTTTCGAACACGCTCAAATCAAAGCCAGTAAAGGCATTAAGATCCAGTGGTTCTGAAGTATCATTGGCAACGGCTGTTGAGCTTGCAGAGGACGTTGGCGGTTGTGAGGGGTTCCCGCTGTCATTAATACGGAGTGAGGGTGATCCACCGTGAGTTGTGAGACTGAGGCGTCCCGTCGCGCTATGGGCAGGCGGGTCTTCCGTGTCCGATTCCAGTTCATCTCGTTCATCATCCACCTGATCCAAGTTGAGTACGTGACCCCGAGAACTAGAACCCGGATATCGTTGAGCGGCGTCCTTCGAAGATAGGCTCTTGGCTTGAGCGTTAGACTTATTCGCAGCCTTCCGCATCTCGCGGCCCTTGCATTCCTCAGTTCGGATGTCCCAAAGTTTGATAAGAGCTGTCAATGCATCCATGCAACGAGCGGGAAGCGTGCTGGGGGGCTCCACAGTGGGGTTCCCATCTTCCTCACCCGCGACCCAAACCGGAACGGCCTCGCGCAAAGTATCCAAAATCTTGCTCAGTAAACCGCGCCTCGCTTGAGCGTTTTGGACGGGCCGATCAAGAACACTCATATATATGATGTTCGTCTTGATCTGCAACACGGGTGCAAACATCACCATCCAACACATGCAATCCGGAGCGAAAGCCAAGGGCGGCGGAGGATTGACGGATGACATGCCAGACCAGGGCTGCTTTTTCCCATACGTGGGACGACGAAGGGATAGAGCCTCGATAAGCAGAGCCTCGCCTGCCCCGGCGAGCTGTGCAACCCATTTACCAGATATCATGCTTGCGGCCGCTGCGAACCTGCTAAAGCGCGACTCGTCATATGGTTCACGCACAGGCTGCTCGCTCCAATCCAACCAGCACTTTCTCAAGAGAAGGAAACTCCTGATCAAAATTGTAATCCGGCAGAAGTGATACTGGAGTCTGATGATCGTCATTTGTAGCGCCTCTTCAGGCTCACTCAAAGCTATGAGAGATAAAAGAGGATGAGAATATGCTAGGGTAAGGGCGAACAAGTTCCCAGCGAATACATACCAGCAATGGGAGCGAAGGCGCCATGCCACCAGTCGAGTTTGCGGAGCCCATCGTCTACTGTGTCCGCCCACCGTTCCACACCCATTTCATGAAGATCATGCTCGGAGACGCACACCTTCAATGCTTGAAGTGTAGCATCGAGAAGCTTGCATTGAAGTACGAGGCGAGCATCTGAACCACCACCACGGCGAGTGACAAGTTGGGCAGGGTTCCCGAAGATCGTCTCTGCTTGCCGAAGAGGCACTCTGGTCACCGGTACACGTCCCTTTCCAATCTGCAGGCTAGAGAAGAAAATGTGGGGAGTCAGCGATGGGACCTGGGGTGGATGAGGGGGTCAGGAAACTCACATGACATCCGAAATGAGCAGATTGCAAAGCTAATAAAGCGGAAAGCAGATGTCCAACCACATGAGTTCCATGCCTCGTGAGTAAGAAAGGAACACGAAAGCCTCACCAGTCTGCTCCGTTCAAGTGTCTCCTCCCTTGACTTCCCTGGAAGGTCTCTCGCTCCTCTAAACGTGTCCTCCCCTCAGCATACATAACCGCAGCTTCAAAGTCCGCTTCTAAACGCAACGAACTCGCCATTCTCATCGCACTCGACATAAGTATCTCCCCGTCATACACTTTGCTTCTGCCTGTCACACCGCCATCGAAGAGGGCACAGAAAGCGCATCAGCAAAGAGAGACAAGGCATGAAGTGCCTTTATGGCCGAAGGGTCCATTGAACCACCAAGGACAACGTGGAAAAGGTGTCTTTGCACCTCGGCTTCAAGCGATTGCAGGATTTCTTTACGACCTCGATCACCCGGGAAAGGGGCAGCAGTAGAGCTTGGGGACAGAATCCGAAGGTGCTCCGCAGCAAGGTATAGCCGAATGACTTGCGAGAATGCGGTGTCGGACGCCGAAGGTTGAGTGAAGAAAGCCGTAGGCGGATCTTGAGATACCCAAGGGGAGAGGTGATTGTTCCAACTAATTAGAATGAGACATAATCCTGAGTCACTCTGAGGCGAAATGGAGCGGGATAGATCAACTCACATATTCTCCAATTCTCTCCCTTCCTCGACGCTCACCACGCCCTCTTGACAAGCTCATCTCTATCATCGTCCACATCCCGAACATCATCATTACCATCCTCTTTGCCGTCTCGCGATGCCTTATTGGTGTCAGGCTTAACCAAATTCTTCACAAACGAAAAAACTCCTTTCCCAATACGCACTCACAGGATCGTGAGATCGATGCCGTTGATACTGATGATGAGCACTAGAACGAGGTGAGTGATGTGGGTGATGATGATGTTGTTCAGGTAGAATACTCCTGCCCCTGCCGTGATGGAGGGCAGACGGGTGTGGCCAGGTCCAAAAGCAGATCTCCCCCTCGCTCTCTAGGAACAGAGGCAGGGTCGGGAAATTCGACATCGCGATCATATGCCGAAATCGAAGCCGATGAAGGCATCTTCCTCACAGAAGCGGGAACATGATCGAGGTGCATGCCACTAGCTCCAGTCGCACTGGCTCTCCGACTCCCAACTGCACTGCTGGGCGTAAGTCGAACGCCGTCACTAGGACGGGGTGAAGGGCCACCGCTCCCTGGACCACGGCCTGGACCAAAATACCTCTCAGTTCTCCGATAATGGTGATGATACCATCTCTACTGTCCCTTTCGTCACTCTCACCACTTCCAGTCCTAACAGAACTCGTCGGCAGAGGTACAGTTCTCCCATACCCATCTTCCTCTCCCCCACCCCTCAACCCTCCATTCCCTCTCCAATCAACACCTTCATGGGCAGCGCCACTAGGCCCATCGCTCTCTCACGCACACCGCTTCCCAGAGATAACGGTGGGGGAAGAGGCACTATACGAGCCCCGTGCGGAGAACCTGGATCCTCACTATACAACGAATCATTGGCACCACCTCTTTCGCCTCTCCCTACTTCAGCGTCACCAACACCAATAATGCCCCTCCGGAAGAGAGTGAATTCGACGATGATGTAGTACCCAACCCCCACTCGGATTTCCACCATGTGAAGGGTACTGCTGAGGATGCCGTCGCTGGTGTCCTTGGATCAGCGAAGGGCGAGTCTGATGAGCCTCAATCCCCTGAGGCGTTCCGCGATACGATGAAGGCGGAGATTCAGTCTTCAAAGCGGACGAAATAGGAGGCGATTGAATCGGTGGAAGCGACGTAGGGGGCGGTGAAGGCGGAATGCCTCTATCTCCCCTTTCTCCCCTAATTCCCGCATGATGACGGCGATGTGAAGGCGGAGAGCCAGCAGGAGGAGGCAAGGACAGATTATTGGAGAACGGAGACAGCACGCTCGGAAGTTTAAATCTCGAGCTTGGAGCGGAAGTAGTCGGAGGCGTTAAAGGAGGATATGGTAATCCTCCTCCGGCTCCGTGATGAGGATGTTGAAAATGCAATCCCTGTCCATGGCGCCCAGAAACATACAACTCCTGAAGATCAGGTCCATCTTCCATCTCATGATGTGAATTCCCCCCATCAGTCATCATTCTTTCATCCCCAAAGCTTCCATTTCCATTCGTACTCGCCATCACACCCGGCTCGGGAGACGGCCTTCCACTCCAATGCCCCATTCCTTCCTGTTTCATCACTTGCTCCTGCAGAGGAACCACCACCAGCAGTCGTAGCAGCAGTGGCCCCTTTCTTTGGCTTGGAGACCCTCTGCCTAGCAGGATACGGCCTCGTCTTTGGCTGAGCCCCACTCCCTGAAGAATTCACACTCGTGACAGGCGGAGCTGAAGGGTCCGTCAAAGAACAAACCATGTGGAAATGGAGGCATCTTCTACAGGCCGGTAATCCATTCTCCGTCGTATCGGGATCGCAGCGGGATTTTTGCTAAAAATGGAACGGAATAATAAATGGCGGCGGAAACGGGGAAGACACACCAAATGAAACATGGGTGAGACAAGGTAAAAGCCGTTCCGGAATCACATGAAGAAATGATGGAGAGAAAGGGGCCGTTTGTCGTTCAACGTTAAATGAACACGGACCATCAAGACCGAGGGGGAGGACATTTCATTTCCCAGTCCATGGAATACACGCACCGAGGGATGAGTCCCAAGGATGATTAGTCGTCATGACCGTGTGTGTGCCCAGGGGAAAGAAGGAATGATGAAATGATCAGCAAGGGGAGTAACAGTCAACGCCCGCCGACCGACCGAAGAACCCATGAGCAGATTGAAGTTCGAGAATCAACAACCGAGATCGGAGAATGAACGATGGCCCAAAAGATTCATGCACGAGCGTTACGTTCCATCCCACGGCCCGGAATCGAAGTCAAGACCAAAGCCCAAGGTCAAAGTCAAGGTCGAGTCCAAGTCGACATTCAGTCCGGGACCATATCAAGAAAGAACCCGTAGGATAATGAAGGAACATGAAAATGAAAATCGGGAAAGCAGAGAAAGGAAAGGTTTCGTCAGCCACACGGTTTCATGTTTGCACTTCCACACCACAGAAGAAAAACGCGGAAAAATGAATGACTAACCTGCCTGCAAGCCAAACAAGCCTTCGAAGTCTTATGTCTCTTAGGAGGCGGAACGCCACCCATGCCCCCACTCGACTCCGGATCCCCGCTAGCCTTATTCTTCGTTCCTTCGTCATCCCCGTCCCTGAGATGTTCGCGTTCGCGTTCGTATTATTCGAGTTAGCGTTGTTATTATTATGGTTGTGGTTGTTGGAGTTAGCGGAGGGACCTGCATTCGACGACGCGAATCCTTTCTCTGATGAATCCATCCACCATACCCGTTCCGCGTTTAGGAAATGGTATATCGAACGCGCGGGTGGGTAAACAAAAAAAAAAAAAAAAAAAGGGAACAAGAGGGGGGGGAGAAAAGTAATCAGTTACGATCCCTCAACACATTGTTGTTATAAAGAGGAGAAAGGAAGAGTGATGAAGGCGGTCATCGGTCAGAAAATTGAGGGTGCTAAGTGCCGGAATCAACGAATTCTAGACCCGAGATCCAAAATTGGCATTCCCCCGGCCGCCACCCACCAAAGCAAAACAGAAAGAAAGAACATTGTCAGGTCGAGCGGGGAGGTACCTGGGGCAACAGCTGGCTGCCCCCACCCAGCGGAAGATGAAGACGGAGGGAGTGGGAAAAAAGAAAAACAGAATAAAAGAAATCGGGAAGCGGAGGTTATGACTCTCTCAAACACCCCGATCAATCAATCCCATCGGTGAACCAGAAAGAAAAGAAAGATATCCGGGAGAATCAAATTAAAGGGTGCTCACCTTCCCCAGACTGTCCTTCCGACCCTGACCCCGACCGAGACCCCGATCCACCACCACCACCACCACCACCACCACCACCACCACCTCCTGCCCCTCTCTTCCCACCAACCTTCCCATTCGCTCCTTCCCTTCCACCTTTCCCACCACTCCCCGAATGAAGCGTAACGATCTCACTATCCAAACTGTCCAAACCAGTCCTACCACCACCACTTCCAGGACGCGGGGGTGGAATAGTGGAAGAAGAGGGTGTAGGTGTACGCTGTCCATCTATACATGATATAGGTGGCGCAGGAGGATGTTGATGTTGGCGCTGACGACGATGCTGCAATTGTTGTTGTTGTTGTTGTTGTTGCAGTATCTGTTCTTGATAGTTGGAAGAAGATGAGGTAGAGGAGTGGGGAGGTGGCACCAGGGACGGTAATTGTACTTGCTGCTGTGATGAATGGGTAGTGTTCGCTGGAGGAGGTGCTAAATGGGCAGCAGTACTACTAGCACTGGCGGCGGTGTATTGATGAGTGACCGGGTATGATGAATGCGATGGATGACCACCGCTGTGTTGCTGCTGCTGCTGCTGCTGTTGGTCTTGGTCCTGTTGTTGAGGATGATGATGCTGCTTCAAGTGTGATGATGATGAATGATTATGAGAATTATGAGAAGTATGTTGGGAAGTGCTAGAGCGTGAGTGCTGGGAATGAGAATGGGAATGTGAATGAAGCTGAGGTCCAGGTATGGAAGAAGACGTAGGTGAGGCGCTCGCTGAACTTCTCGGTGAATCCATCGTATTTCCTTCGAAACTTTCTCCCCTTCTTCTGCTGGAATAGTAACTAATGGGATGTAAAACCAACAACCCGGTTAACAGTTTAACGAGATCTTTTCCCCTCCCTCCCCGTATGCTTATGGTCGTTCACAAAAAAGGGGTTTTATAACCACCGTCGTCCGTCCGTCCGTTCGTATTCTATTCCAAAATATTACCAAACGTAGGCGAAAGGGAGTGAGAATGAGAGAGAAAGGGGCGGGGAAGGTCAAGGAAAAGACAATTTATACGTTACTTACCCTTCCACCCGATTCCCCGATTCCGATTTCCGCTGAAACCGCTTTACGTCCGTCCGGCCGTCCGCGCAACCGAAATCGATATCCGAAAAGGAATTCCAACAACCACAACCAACCAACCCCCTCGCTCAGTTAGGTGGAAACAAAAGGGGAACCGTCAATCGGCTAATATTAAATTCGCGAGCGGGCGGCAGTACTGGCGGCGCTCGGTGCTATAATGGGGAGAGGGGGAGGGGAGGGGAGAAGATTATTATTGAGTATACGGGTTCCTTGGTCGACAAATATATCAAACGTGAACGTGGCGGTGTGATGGAGGATGATGGGGAGGGGAGGGGGGGGAAGCGAGCGAGGGAGCGAGGAGGGGGAAGGGGCGATACTGAACGCCGCTCTGAATGTATTATGACGTTGGTTGGGAAGGAGATGATGCGGCGCTGTTGGATTATAAATGATTACGATTGAAGTAGTGCATCGCACATCGGTTCACGAGCGTGAGGAGGAGGGATGATGAAGACGAAGTGAAGGGGGGGGGAGTGAAGAATAACAAGTTGGACGGCTGCCGCCACCACCACCACCACCACCACCACTGCAGCCGCCGCAGCCGCCCTCGCTGACGACGTGAAGAAAGGCGAAAGCAAGGGAAAGCGGAGAGATTGATTGCGAGAGGGGAAAGGGAGGGGGATTTATTTGCAACACTCTTGACTCACTTGATTATTCACCTGCGAACCTCAGTCGTCGCTCAAAAGCTAGTTACTGTGCAGCAGCACCTACCAGCCGGGTAGATCTTTGTTGTTTGAATTAAACACCAAAAAAAATGCTGGCTCCTCGTCGTCTTGTGTAGATGTAAGTTCTATGAAATGTTAAGGAAGAACATCAGAAATCGAAATGCCGGCGTCAATGCCGATGGTTTGATTACTGACCTCGCCGGAAGGTCAGATTCCACGCTTCGGACGTGTTCTTGACTTGCGAGCGAGCGAGCGAATGAGAGGCCAAAGTTCCCCGTAGTCCAGAAAGTCACTAACACTAACCCAAAGGTTCCCTTATGTCGTTCCCTCGCCGCCGTCGAAAAATTACAGAGGAAACAAGGCTGAGCAAGCACTCTAAGTAGGTGGGTGGTTAAACTTTTCCGAAGGAACGGAAGTAAGAGAAGTAGTTTTGTGCATACTGGGAAAATTTGGCCGCCGGTGGTAGTTGGAGAAACCACACAAGCTGGGATGGGGAGGGATGGCAAGAGAGCGGAGAGAGGAGGAAGGGTTTGGAGAAAGAAAAAAAAAAAGGACCAAGGGTGGTAATACTAATAGGAAAAAGAAGGCCTAAAGGCAAAAAAGGAATATTCGGCTCCAAGGCCGTTTGCTATTGGTTGAGCGTGTGTATGTATGTGTGTGTGAGTGATTCGGGCGGTATGGAGGAAACACTGAATTATCATTCCATTAGATGATACGGAATGATATATGTATTGTCCTTTTTGAATAAAATTTCCTGACAACCTCCTTCCATTTATTACTCCTCCTTCCGAGTTGCCCACGCTCCTGGCCCCCATATACACACACACACACACACACAACCTCCATCTCACACAAACATGAGCGCTTAAGAGCCTTGGTCATATAATCGCTTTTTCTCTCAGGAGATCCGTGATCGAACAGGTGATCCTGAAGACGGAATCAGGCCAGCGGCGAGAGGAGATCAAGCCAACTATGGTGATGATCGCAACTAAAAGAATCAAAGGCCGATGGGAGCAAGGTTAAAGAATGATCCCCTCCTTCCCGTCCCCCCCCACCACTCCTTTCTCCGAATGTTTGTCTTCCACCCGGGTACCCCGGGTCCAGCTCTAACGTTCGTCCTCCTAAGCCCGAATTCATTGGGTCTTGTCAACTTGCGAGGTTTCACCCTCGCAAGTCGGTCTTCCCCAGTACGTTCGATAAATAGCTAGGCACTCTGAGAACTCCCAAGAGCGAAAACAGATTTTTAATAGCGCAAAGACCGTGTTTCTTCCAACTCCGTGGCTGCTTTCCCTTGGGCTCCATCGTGGTCGCTCAATTTCCTAAAACAGGAACTACAACCCAATGCGATGTTCTTTCAAAACTCCGAGAACAAAACATCATTCCCCCCCCCAATCCTAATGCATTATGTCAATCCCCCATGCCTTGTTACACACCCGTCACATCCGCTCGCACATATCCTAACACACACATGTCCAAGCTAGCGCCACTATAAATCACACTTTCCTCTTATGGAAATCCGATTCTTCGGGTCATCCATTTGCGCAACCTACTTTTGTACTTCCGAGCCGTTGTCACCATATTAACTTGACGACGGCAACAAACGACAACGCAACCAAGGAAAGTGGGTCAAAGGGGAAATACGTACCCGTACTTGGACAAGGAAGGCATTCCCCGTTGAATACTTACTGATTACATATACACAACAATTCAACATGTGTGTACATTTCCCACGCATCGGCTCCGGAAAGCAAAAAAAACATCGGCCCCCCAAATTTAGACTAATACAAATCCAACACTTTACCTAAAGCGATCCCCAATCCATATATAGACAACTTCCGAACCATTGTCGTCACATGGCTGCGGAACCTGTAATACAATTTTAACCAACGGGGATTAACTATAATTCCGCGCAAGCGAGATTTCTATTTAGGAGTTCCGGAACATCACGGACAACAACACCAAAAAATCGCAGCTCCACAACCACCACCATCAACCCAACCAACCAGCAAACTGTTCTCGGACATTTCGTATTTATTACGTATGCTGTGCTTAAGGGAGGTTTGCGGAAGCTCGGGTTGACCACCCGTGCCGATATTTGAATGAGTTGGGAAAGCCGAGTTTGAAGCCACAACCCCCCCCCTCCATTCAACACCTCTCCTGTGAACTAAAAATGTCAGTTATATCATTCAATGGCGCTGCACTAAGGCTTAGTGTAACTGAAGGAACAGGTTCACCGATCAATGAACAATAGACCTACAGTACTAGCTAGGCACGCGAACAAGTGTTTGGAACATATGTACGTATTTTGTCGAAGCAAGTACTGGTCTTGGTCTTCCGGTGGCTTGCCACGACCTACTCGCTCCGCGAGCAGCTAGAACCACATTTAAGGAGAGATCAGCAAGGTTCGCTATGTAGTCCTTGTGGGAAGGGGGGAATTTGATGTACCCTATACCGGTGTTTGCACAGCTATTTTGATCGATAGGCATGCTTATGTACTGTAAAGTACTTCACGCGCCAAACGATAATGTAAACGTCCAAATTCCCTGTGCTATGTCCCTGTTCCTTTTATTTCCTAAATGCTTACAGCTCGTTGCGCCGGTTTAGCCACGGATCGATTGTGCAAAGTATCAAACTATGATCGATTATGATCTTGATGATCATGCATCAATCCCCCCTCCCATGATGAGGATAACAGCATCAAACTTAAATTCGGACTCCGTTTACGTTATGCAACTTGTATGTGAATGCTATGCCAATAACGTTACAGTCAACTATCGGATCCAGCGCGTCAATTGGAAGCGAAACGCACTAACGCAAACTAGTGCAATATATACACAGCATCGAGACGCGACGAGAACCACTAGTACTTATGCAATCGAGGGGCCCTTCCTGAACACCCCTGACGACGCGGGGCGTTCGACCTTTAACAAACTCGATCGTGAGTTAGTTGCGGCACTTGCATAGAATGTATGTACCAACCGGAATCAATCCCCAGGCGCCCCCGGGGCGGCTATAACAACGAGTACCGTTATCGGGAAACGCCACTTGCAAACCAGTATCACGTACTACCACTAGCCTTATCGAATCTTGGATCCCTGGGGTTCCACCTACCATATCCAGATCTATCCGTTTTGTTTTGTTTTTTTTTTTGATTTACACACAACTTGACAACAAAAAATTCCGGGAGTCGCTACAACCGACGGTGGCTTACACAGTACTGACACTCCCAATCAGTCAGCAGTAACCCAAGGCCCAAAGCCATGTGCGCTTATGCAGTAGTTACAGACGCTAGTTTAACGACGACATTGCTGGAAACCACGCATACTTTTTTGTTGCCGACCCTTCATACCGAAATCGATCGATCACCTGTTACATAAACCTATTTACATAAAAGCGCTCGCGCGCGTTCGTTGTATCCCTTTTTGCTTTTTCTCTTCGCCGCTGCCGCTGTGCCATCAACGCGTCCCCCCCCGCGGTTCAAGTTGTCTGGTTACAATAGCGGTTACTAGTACTTACTATGGACTCGGCGGAGTTTCACGCACAAGTGTATCGTATCGTCCGATTGATCCCTTTCGGGAGGGTCACTTCCTACGGTGCGTCCCATCAGATCATCTACCCTTTCCATTCCGTCTATTATCAGTATCTTCATTCTCCTGTTTCCATGTGATGATCTTTCCCCTTCCCTCTCCCCTTACACCTTCGTCACGTCGCGGCCCATGATCTTTCGCATATCCACAATCGCGCACCGCATTGCTGTTCCGCGATGCCGCCGAGGGCAAATGCACTGCTTTGCATGGAGGTTTCTGTGTCAGCTTCAATTGAGATGTTGAAGATATGGAGCTTATTCACAGCTTATTCATCTCATATTCCAAATCCTACTCCTTGCGCGCCATTCGCTTCTCGGGATTACTATGGCCGGCCGGCCGGCCCACGCACGAGCCACCGGAAGGATCATATTCTCCCGATAGAAAAAGCGAAATTTTGTTTTTAACAAATCAACAAACGCCGGGCGGAATATCCACCAAATACATTTAGCCCCGTTTAGGGATTTCCCAATTCCCAATCATTTATTTTCGGCCCAAGTTGGGTTCAGGGTTTCCTAGTTTGGCCGGTGGCTTTCGCTTTCGGGAGGGAGAAGAGTCATCCAAAGTTGAACAACATCCGGGATCTAAATGGAAAATGGAATTCTACGTTTCCCATTGGTTCGGCTGTGTGGGAACTTTTTTTTTTTTAACCCGTGATGATGGCAATATTACAATGCATAGGCAACAGCAAAAAAGCACGTCCGTTCCTTGAGGTCGAAAACATTTTCAATATTCAACACGAGTTCTCCCACTCTCGGTTAATACATAATATAGGACGGGTTCGGCGGTTCACCCTTAACCCGGCATGCCCTTCCCGGTCAGGTCCATGGTTTCGGCTTCCGCTCCTTCCATTCCATTTTCACTGCCCAGTTCGCTTCCACCAGGCTCATGCAAACCTTCTGATGGAATAGTCTGCTAAGCTAGGCCTAATCTGTGCATCTATGTGGTTATGTGAATGCTGCTTGGCTTCCCCCCCCCCACTTCCGCATCCCCTCTCTCTTCTCGTGTTCAATCATATCGACCCTGAATTTTGATTGGGACTTCGATTCCCTTGTCTCCTAAACCCACTACATTAGAGCTTTCCATCCATTCCAACTCGATTGAACGTGCTTGGTTTTTTGTTCGTTCCAAGTCCCTTCCTGCTTGTCAGTTGTTGCCTCTTCTCTTCCACACAGCCCTTGTTACTCACACCCCTCTCTTACTCATGACCCATCTCATGGCCGAACCATCCATGTTCCATATACCCGAATTCCAGCATAATTCCAGTTACCACGTTGCGGCCACTCTTTTTTCTTCTATCAATCCCGGTCGTCTTTTTTGTTTTTGTTTCTTGGCGTCCCGTCCCCAACTAGTATTTCAGTTCCGCGAGCATAGGTTTAGCGATGATTTTAGATCTCTCAAGTGCTCGTCGGCGTTTGAGCCAAGTGGACCCTTAGGGGGCTCTGGCGAGCTGTTTTGGATTGGTTGGCGCTACTACGTCCCTTCCAAGTTCCCAACGCCCAAGCATGTGGGACCGCCGATCGCTTCCGTTTTCTTATTATATCCCTCACGCACTATTTTGAAAACTTATTTGTGTGGTGATATGTTTTAGGTCATATTGCCCTTTTGGTGGGGTTGCCTAGGCACGCTAGACATGTAGGAAATGGTGAGTGTACACTCCGTTATTTATTTATTTTTTCTTTTGCATTGTTTTGCAATTCTTGCGTGAGGCACGCAATCCCGATGCCGCTCAAAGGGATGAGCTAACGCGAGAGAAGAATGGCTTGTGAACTATTCGTGGCGTTCCTACTGCGCAAGTGCCCTCACACACGTCACCTCAAATCACCCCGGTTCTGTGATCACTGATGGTGGTTGTGACTCCGGTTTCTTGCATGTAATGGCCTTCACAACTCGTGGCACCATCCATTAGGCTGCCTCGATCTGCCATGGTTTTGGACTTCTCACGGTCATTTCCTACGTACATTTTACTCACGACCAATGCCAAACGGAACGGAACCGACTGGCCGGCCCACCGAACTTGCCATTTTTCGGGCTGGGATCGATCGGAGGGCAGCTGACGGCTGCTGATCAACGTGGGTGTGTGGTTACACTTGCATTGCACCGTGTGTTCTTTGCTGGGGGTACGCTCTCCGTATCGTTGTTGTTGTTCCTCCTGTCTGACACGTGCACAGCGTTCACAACCATTACCTTTTGGGATTTGATTCGATTTTGATCGACTGATTAACTTGCTCCGTCTTTAGCATTGAAATGGTTAGGTCCGGGAACGGACGTTCCATGGCATCGAGTGATCGCTTCATCAGGACAAATATCCTCTCGAGGTGAGTCGGTTGCAATCCTCAACCTTGTGGACACACACACACACACATGAAACTTTGGTTTGTAATCTAGGGCCTGGTACAAATGGAGCCGCTCATCAACGAGACGCACTGGTGGAGGAAGATGTTGAAGTGGATGAAGTGGTGGGAGGGACGTTTAGGGTTAGTTTGGCGAGGTATGGATGGTTTCCGAGTCCGGATGAGGTGCAGGAGATGTTGTTGGATATGCAGGAGGAAGGAGGGGAACAGTTTGAATGAGTCATCTAATCTATGTAAGCGGCAGGAAACCTCAATATAAAAAAATCACCTGCATCGGAAGTTGACACTATCTGAAACTTGCGCACAACATCTATAAAACTCTATGTCAAGAGTCTGGAGTCCTGCCTGCACGATCTCGTTCCACTCTAAATACCAACGATCCTCCCTAGACAGTCAGATGGACGTTGAAATACATTCCGCCACTTCTGGCCGATCGCCACTGGGTCTATCTCAGGCTGTTTTAGATGTGGTTCAGGCCGATATGAATCGCCGGGGTTGGGCTATAGGCCTAGCCTTCGCAGAGACAGACGAGGATGAATGGTCCGATCTCATGGCAAACGTTTTCTCGGCACTTGCACGACGCATAGACCTGAAGATTCAAAGCCTCGAAGATGCGCTGTTGATCGTGGATAACTTCAACGATGCTGAGCGCCGAAAATGGATGGATGCGATAAGAAGAGCAGTCAAGGATAGTGATTGGACATCTTTGATTGCGGACTGTAAGTATCAACTATTAGCGTTCAACGGGTTGGACTGCCATTAATCTGTGGTATAGTAAGGGAAAAGAGCAGTTTCTTTACAAGGAGAAGGCAAAGGTATCATCCTTTTTTTTTCAACGTCAACTTCATGCCATATTTACACCTTTTTATTTTATTCCTACAGGCGCGGAAGCGGTGAGCAACTTGTCCGAGAATCTTCTCGATCGTTCTCATTGGCTGTTATTCAGAGCTTGCTGGGGCATACCGCTCTCCATTTATCGGAGATGCTCATAGTACCTTTATCCAGTACCTCCAAGAGATTGATAAAAGAGCGAGGATGGGGGGTGGACAGCCCACTTATGGGAAATCCATCTCGGTGATCCAAAGCTCTGGGACCGGTAAATCACGAATGCTAACGGAGGTGTGTATACATCCCCTCATCCCAGTTTCAATCATTCATCATATTTGTCCCAGGTTGGCACACATATCTTCACTCTCCCCATCTGTCTTCGTAACCCACGTGATGAGGGTTATCCGCTGTCGGACGAGCCTGCATTTGAGTACTTCAGGAGTTTCCGGCACTTTGAGCATTTCAACCATTGGTGTGACGACAATTATCTGTGCATCAACACGCTTTCAGGCATTGCCTGTTTCCTTGCTGCTGCTTACGAGATGATGCTATCCGCACTGAAAGAAATACAAGAGGAGGTGGGTCACGATGCAAAAAAGATTCTCGGAAATTGGCATCAGAAGATGGAGAAGAGCCGCTCAAGAAATTATCGTGACAAGTTTTTCAGTGCCGTGGCTGAACGGGGTAAGGAGGTAAAGATTTCTGTCCTTGTCCTTTCTGGCTCAACTGACGAGTGGCTCAGCTACAAAGATCGCTCGGTGGATCCGAAAAATGCGATGGTCGTATCATGAAGCTGGGAGACATCACCAAGGTAATCCAGGTCCATTATGAAAACCACATGAAAAAGGCATTAGAGGCTCTCATGGTGTTTATCGCGACCCTTACCTCTGATATATGTGTGATATACTTCGACGAGGCCCACGAGCTGCAATCAGCTTTTAGGATCATGTTACGTTTACTGAACGTTCAAGAGATTTCTTTAAAAATGTGGTATGTATTCATGGGGACAGAATCACCAATGTTGTTTTTCGCTCCCCATCAACATGGTGAGTTTGTAGTACACTAGTGAGCTGGCCATGCTTGACTGTTGCATACAGCGAGTCTCGAAGAACTCAGGGAATCATATCTTAAACTTCCCTCCATGTACTTTTCCCTTGGGTTTGATCACCTGGCCATCATGAATGCTCATACCCCGAAAATCGTCAAAATGGGCGATTTTGAAACCATTCAGCATCTTGCCCAGTATGGGCGCCCTTTGTATGTGTTCTTTTCTTTTAATCACCAGTGTGACTACTCACTCGCATCTGCCAGGTGGCATGTGCAGGTACATGAAGGAATTTCCGATAACATGACATTTGCAGCCTCAAAGCTTACTGGTGGCAGAGCCTTTGATGTTGAGGATGTTAACCACGTATTTGCTGTTCTTTCCCAGCGGCTTTGTCTTGAACCTGTCATGTCAAGCATGATGGCAGTCAAACTAGCGGAACAGAGTGTCACCCATCACATGAGGCTTCTTACAGGCCTCTCGTTTGGTGGACTGGCATTTCACACCAATTCGCCATCAGAACCAATTCTATCGTTAGGTGCTGCTTCGTTATTGCACGGACTCAAGTGGAATGGGGCTCTGGAAACATTGGCCCTAAAGCTATGCTCCAAGGGTTTGGTAGCGAAGGGCCATGTGGGTGAACTTGCTGCCCGCTTTCTACTCCTGGTTGCACGCGACTATACAGCACCAAGGTATTACCACCTCTTGAAGCCTGTTCAGCTGTTAGATGTTCTTAGAACACTCTTTGGTGATCTAATGTGGGATGGTGGCAGTATGGAAGCCGCGTTCAAGGATGCATATGTCAATTTCACACACTGGGCCATCACACAAGATCCCTTACCGGAGGAGCCTACCAAGTGGATAGTTTCTTGCATACTAATTCACCTGTTTGCTGATGGAGCCCTTTAGGAAATTGCTTTCCGACTTATGGGCCCGGAAGGTTATATTGCAATGCTGCTTCAATGAAGGCATGGTCGATTTCCTATGCCCTGTTTACTTTGGTTCTGTCTTGCCAGAAGCTGTTTTTGACCCTGACCAGTTTTCAGCACTGGTTGTTCAGGTCGCGTTCAAGGATGTTTATCCCCAAAGAAATCTGCGACCCACTGCGATTATCCGTCATCAGAACGACCATTTCCCTTATCTCCTCCTTCTCATAGAGCTTGACACCGACTCTCAGCGAAAAAGTATTGCTGGCGAAATCAATTTCTTCCCCCCTAAGCTCACCGACTATCAAAAGCTGAAGACAGAGCTCGAGGATGCCTTGGAGAACCTTTTCAAATACGAAGCACAGAAGCTAGCATGGCAGCCACCAGATGAAAAACTGAAGAAGCTGAGGGTGGAGGTTGAAACCAAGCAACGAGAGAAGGACCTTTACAACCGCTATGTGATCTCTGCCCGAGGCACAGGTCCTGACACTTATGCCATACTCAGCAAGCCAGGGATCATGAGGCCGTTTGAAGTTTTGCTAGCAAGCATTGCACCTCGAGTGACCGATCTTGATATTCTCACTGGACATATGCATCCTCTGGAGCCCTCAAAGGATGGGCATTCACATGCTGACTGGATGTACAATTACGAGATGTAGCAAAGGGCCAAGTCCTGTAGGATTAACTCAGTAATATGAGCCACTACGTTCTGACCTTGAGATGGCTTCCCTCATTCCCATACTCTGTGACACCATATGCAAGGGCAGATGGCAAAAGATTTTGAAGAAGTTGTGTGCAGTGTGAAGCGAGGGCATTTAGACATTGGTCAAGCAGAGAATTGCAATCCATCCAGGAGGGATGTATGATCGAGAGCTCCCCAATCACTCACCTCAAAGTTCAATCTTTAATGAGACTAATGCCAGGAGGAGCATTAAAACTACCAACCTTTGGGGATAACAGGCCATGGAAGAATATCAATTTGCCACAGTGCAGCCTAGAAATGAAATTTGCTTCTTGCTCCTCTTGAACTATTTTCTGGAACTTCAACTTAGCTGCCAATAATGGTTAGAAGATGTCAGGGACCAACCCGGGGTCGACAGCGTCTGTCAGAGTCTGCACGTTGTAACAGGGAATTTATCCCAATGTCACACAGGCTCACAGGGGGGACAGTAATCTCCTGCCTGCCTCTCTCAATCTCACCAAAGGTCCTTGTAGTACGGTGCTGTATAGTTGTGGCTGTGCAGTCACGGGACTACCCCAACTACACTCGCCAATGTATGTACATGAAAGAATGAAAGAGCACTGTTTTGTAGTGCAAGGGTTTATCCCTGCAACAACATCAGTTTGCATGTAAGGATCTCCCCAGGAAACTAGTCATTGTAAAAGCTGGGGGGCCAACCCAGCTGGTGATAAGGCCTTATATACATGAGTTCTGCAACTCATAAGAGCGCGGCTACATTGGGAACACATGGTAGCCGATAGAGAAGCGACATGAGATAGGGGAATAGATCATGCAGATAAGGGGGCGATAATGGGTGAGGGATGACGCGATAGTGTTGTAAACGCGGCGTTCCAAATATGGTAACCCGCTTCAGCGGTTCACTCGCAACCCAGATGTAATATAGAAAGAAATATAACTAAAATACACATGGCGCTCCAGCACCCATATTTATACTTCTCAACAATATTCTAGGCTCTTCTATGCCCAGCGCTTACGCAGGCACCTAGTAACCCCTAGAATATTCCCGGATATTCCGGTTCAGTTTCATCATGTGACTCGTATTCCAACAGATAGTGGAAATAGCGCATTGAATACAATCTGTGTTCTAACTACAGCAAATCACATGCAGATATCGACTTACGGGTACTCAACCTATCCAGATAGGGGTCCAGGCCAGCCAGATAACTGTCTGTGCCCTGACAGCGTCCAGATGTATTGCCCGGTGCTGAGGGCCCGGTAGGGTGTGATGCAGGCGTGCATGGCAGCAGGCCCAATACAGACAGATGTCCCTGGCCACTCAGGCTGAAGTGGGAAATGTGAATTGTTATTAATAGAAAGGGAAATAAGCTACTTGCCTGAAGTGGGAAATGTGAGAAGAAGGCTACTTCTCAGTTCCCACTTAGGCTATGTTTATATACATGCAGTTGAGGCCACATGGGAGGTGCCACGTCATCTACAGACACAGCCATGCCCATCCAGGTATCTCCACAAGAGATCCTAGGAGCATCCAGTGCACGGGAAGTTGCCTGGTGCACCCGGGTCTGGGCGTGTTACATCGCAGTTGGGTCAATGGTACATTGATATAAGGAAAGTCATCCGTGTAATGAAAGAAGAAAGAAGGGAAGAAGAAAGGAAGAAGAAGAAAGAGGGGAGAAGGGAGGAAGCAGGGCAGGGGGAGGGTGTTAGAATGGGCGGATTCGGACGACTCCGGAGTGGAATCGGAGACTTAGCGTGGAAGGACCTTGGCCTCAGCGACTCAGGTGGAGCGTTGTGCCATTGCTGGTTGTCCTGGGGGTCCCTAATTTCGGATCTAGCAGAGGGAAAGTCTCTTGGGGGGAATTCAGGTCGATTTCGGACTGAGGTTACAAGTTACTAGGTACATTGTATATAAGGAGGGGTCCGGAATCAAAAGGAACAAGGGTAGGACAAAAGGAGACAAAGGGAGATGGAAAGAGGAACAACACCGAGGGTCAAGTGTTTGACTCAATGGTGTTTCCCAAAGGAGGAATGGAGGGCCAAGGCCCAAGGAGGAAGGAAGGAGGATGGGAGTTGGGAATGGCTAGCTGACTGAATAGAAGGAAGCAGCAGCCCAAATAGGAATGAGGGAGAATAGCGGAATTGAAATGGACAATGCAATAGTTGCAAGGTCCGGAGTAAGTCCGGAAAGTCCGAACTCGGAAGTTAAACTCCGGAATATTGGCAAACGTAATTAAATGGAATGAGCTAACCAATACAATGGGTATAAGCAGAGGTGGGGTCAAAGTCCGAGGTCGGAGCTGAGACCGGAGGTTCCGGAGACAGAGACACAAACAGGATTCCGGAGCAGAGGTCCGGAGTCGGGAACATAGGTGTTGCATGCTCGTCTGGAAGGTGTCAAGGTTGGGGTCGGACCCGGAATGTTCCGGAGTCGGACCAAAGGTGGTGTCTGAGCTGGGGGTGGGATAACCTCTTGGGAGTCGGCAAGGAGAAGGTGATGGAGGGGGAGTAGGGCTCCAGAAGTCGGAGTTCGGAGTTCCGGGAGCCCGGAGTGGAGGTCGGGATTGTATGGATATGACAGAGGGTAGAGGTACCAGGTGGAGGATGATGGGATCGGGTGGGTCCGGGCCAGGCAGAGCAGGGTCAGGCAGGTGTGCCCTGACAGAAGACCATTTATTTGCGATTGGGCTGCAGTACACTAAATTGACTCACTCTTGGACAATTTCTTTCATATCGGATTCGACAACATCCTGATGGCATTTCAAATGAGTAAGAGAGAGACGAAACAAGAGGTGGAGCATTTACTTTGATTAAAATTGCCAGAGTTGACTGGAAGAGTTCAGGGACAGTTCAAACTGCGCTGCAGACAATTGAAAGCTCTGGAGTGATTGGGTAAGTGGAGCAGGAAACACAAACCAGCAATCTTACTGTTAGAACTGGGCAAGGGCAGATGATTCCAGAGGGGAACTGGAGACTTAGTGTGAGGCCCCGGCCCATGTCTATATTCCGCCCACAACATCAGTTGATGTTGTGTTGTGTAATAATTATGTCACGACGCTAATTTAGTGTCGCGGAAGCTTCTCTATTTATTTGTGCCGAGAATGTATAAGATTGTATATAAACCCTCGGGGTAGCTGTAAAAGGTGGATCAGCCTTTACTTCTACCCCGTTAATATACAGCAAATCCAAGCATATACTTAGACGGACATCTGAGGCCTGAGGCGAACGGGGGAACGGAACGTTACCGTCCCCAAACTAGTAAGATACCTTTCACTTTTTTATGCTACTATTCTCTTTTCCATTCTCGGCACCGCATTACCGGTGCCGAAACCCCATTTGGCAACGCGCACGTTGTCGGCCCCTGACAACGTATAACCAGCTGTATCGTGCAGCTGAGGAGATGATCACGCCTCCTGACCAGGCAATGTTCAATGAACGTTTCCTGAACGCCATCCCTGGCGAAATGCGTCGGGAGATGGTTATGTGCCACGAAATTTCCGTGGACTACACAACGAAAGACGAATTGTGGACCGCTGTGCTCCGCCTGGACCACGCGTATGATTCTATTAAGGCGATCTCTGCATATCGTAACGACTCACAGGTGCCAACCGTGTCGAAAACGACGCAAAAACATAATACCAATGCTGCAGCAGCACCCAAAAAGGCTGCTGATTCCTCGTCTGCCAAGAAAGTGTACAAAAACACATTCGGGGGAAACACGTCAACTCTGAAGAGTGGACAATGCTCAACCTTCCGTGCAAGCTATTTGCCGGCTCCAAAAACAGAGAAGTCGACGTCGTCTACAGCGGCGAAATCGATGCCATCCTTGGATAAGGATGGGAAACCACGTTGTTATAAATGCGGGAAAGTAGGGTATCAACGTGATTGCCCAAATCACGACAAGCCCAAACCGCGCATGTACAACATAGCGGTCAAGTCTGACGAACGAGACCTACAGGACTCGGAGCCTGTAGAAGAACCAGAAGGTGTTGAAGATCCTGCAGAGGTGCAGGACTATATGGCTGATGATGAGGCGTTCGACGATAAACTCGTGGACGACCTGTACGACCCCAACCTCCTCGCTGAGGCAGAGGAGGAGTATGTAGAGGTGGACGCCAACATGTTCATCGGTGCTATGACATTCGTGGATCCCACGGACGAAAACTTCTCCATTAAATTAGCGTCTGCTCAGCAAGTGGACAAACTGCCATCTGATGAGCAGATAGTAGCTGAACTTGTCGACGATGCAGTAAAGACCTACAAAAGGGATGGTGTTGTACCAGTCCCAAAATCCCCACCCAACAATCCATCAACGCAAAGTGTGGTGGGTTCTTCAGTGCCTAACAAGCTTCTGAAGAAAATCCCGCCAATATTTGACACAAAGTTTAGAATCTCACGAGAGGCGGGTAAATACCCTGAAAACCGCAGTGCCGACTTAAGGTGGACGCTCACCGGCGAGGTTAACATCGCCGGGATAAATGCTTTTGTCCTATTCGATAGTGGCACTGAAACAGACGCCCTATCTCCAGATTTTGTCCGAGCAGTACACATTCTGCTGCTCGAGTTGCCAAACCCCTTGGTTCTCCAGATGGGGACCAAAAACAGTTGTTTGTGCATAATGTACGGCACGAATACTCCCATAACCATTCACAGGGTTACGACTACTCACTATTTTGACGTCATCAACATTGACCGCTATGATGCCATTCTCGGAGCTCCTTGGCTGAATGCCAACGGAGCGTCCCTCAATTTCAAAACTCACACCGTCCACATAAAGATGGGTGACATCAAAACATTTGATGTCCTCATGGAACGGGGTAAAACCTCCATGGGGGCTGCTGCACGTGGTCGCCCCAAACTTCCCCATGCACCGAGATCCGAACTGCCATCTAAACAGACGGCATGACGCAATACGGCAAAGGCTGAAAACCCTTCGCCATGCGTCCTTGCCATGTCCGCTCA